ATATATATATATAAAAGAGACTACAGTTCCCATTTAAAGGACAAAATTAAAGCGGCTCTATCGCTAGAATAAAAACCTAAAAATAAGGGCTGGCTGTGAAATAAAAACCATATTTATGGTCCCGCCATCTGTGTTGCTGATGTTTGCTCTGTTAAAGAGCTGCAAAATAATCTGTGTTAGTTGCCAGAGATAGGAAGTGAAAAAAATCTGTCCAATGGTATGGCAGACAAGATAAAAACAAAATGAACTGTACGGAGCTAAGTAGACTATACACTATGCGGATTTCGGACAGTTCTCAATGAACCTGCCAAAATGTGCTCAGTGGATGACCCTGCTGGCACCCTTCTGCCAAGCATCCCTCAATCAGAAGATCGAAGGAGTCAATTGGACAATCTTGAGCTAAATGGTGGTTATAGCAGTCAGCTGCAAGCACCATTTGAGTATTCTGAAAGCAGCTGGCATCTGTTGTCAGAAAACAGTTGAAACAGCGGGGATTACTCCATCCACGCTGTTCAGCGGTGATGGAGGAATCTGTTCTATTTTCTTAATTCCGCTGGCAAGAAAATTTAAAAGTGTATATTCAGCTTTAGGCTTTAAATTAGATGGTTTGTGTAAAAGTCTGCTTTCTAGAACTAGTTAGGTTTAATCTATTTTGTTTTGTACTAACCTGTCCTAATACGTGTTTGAAATTTTGTAGCTCTGTTGACACTATTTTACCATGTTAAACTGTGCTAAGTGCATCTCTAAGAGTCATGTCATGTTGTGTCTTGATTGCTGACTGTAAGTCTTACTTTTCCAGACATATCTGAGGAATGCCTCTCAGTGTTCTTCTCCGATTGATGAACATCGTGTAGAAGTTTCCAACCCGCTACATCGTCTTGACTTGTTTATGGGTCAGTTTAATAATGTGTTGCTGACCTCCATCTCAGTCTTCACTCAAGGCAGCCTCACCATAGCAAATCTAGGCACGTCTGGTGGTCGCTTCATGCAGGTTAGCTGGCCCTTCATTTGTTTCTGTATTAAAAATGAAAAAGAAATAACTAAACTGTGGATTGTTTGATTGGCACAAATGTCAAGCTTCTAATACAGACATTATACAAATATAGCATATGTGAAAAAGGCTTGTGCTCATATCATTGCAACAGTTTTCATCAAGTGGGATTGGCCATATTTTAGACACACAAATATTTAGCCCCTGAAGGCATACACCATATTCAGGGTGTAACATGTAACATTACCACATCCTAATATCCCCACCCCCTCCTGCCCCCCCTCTTACTTCATTAATGGGGACATGGACGGTACAGACAAGGACAGGAGGAAGAATCTGCAGAAACCAGAGCATTGCACCCACCATCCACTGATCGCAGTTGCAATACTTTACTGACTCCAATGCCAAAAAATACTAACTGTACATTTTTTCTTTTATGAAGAAGCGTGTATTTTGTAATTTATTTTCCAAAAAGTGGACTTTACCTTTAAGGCCACATTCACACCTAGGCGTTTTGTTACATGTAGTTATCAGCACTGAAACGTTCAAGACAAAAAATCCCATTTATTTCTTTAGCTCCCCTTCACACCTAAGCACAGAGTCGTGCGTAAAAAAATGCCTGTTGCTGTAAAAAGTACATGAGCTTCCCTCAGAAAATCAGTGTGATTTGTCCCCATAGACTCAATAGGAAACGCGTGACACAATTTTTATGCTTGTGTTTTTTTGCGTGCATTTTAAGCGTATTTCCCATTTACATCAATATGTCATAATCTGCTCACAAAAACACGCGACTTAACATACTCGTGGAAAACGTGCATAAAAACACGCATAATCTGCACTGAAACGCTGCCGCCTAGGTGTGAATGAAACCTGTTCACGTATGTATTTTACATGGTTTTAGTCCTACACTCTTATATAGTTAAGCTGTCCAGCTTTATAACAGACATCAATTTTTGCAGGTTTTAAAACTAATAAAAATACAATCAGTATGCATGTTATGCTTTATGTTTCTCATGTTAGCTTCTTTTTTAGAAAGCTAATTGACTTCCTGTAGCATTATATGCTTTGAATGAGAAAGTAAGAGCAATGTAAAAATTGTGACAAAACTACAAATAGTATTCTCACTACTGTATAGCCAGCCATAGCCAAACAATGACAATGCACAAATTAAAAGTGCAATGCAGGAATGGCTTCATCAGCTGCTTCTAACCCACTGGGGTTGATTTACTAAATGGGTTGAGAAGGTTCAATTTTCAAAGTGAACATTCTCTGAATGTTAGTAAATGATGGGGAGCAGGGTTCAATTTCATCCTCTAATCATGCACAAGACATATGTTCCACCTGATTGGGTATTTAAAGAAGAACTCTGGGAAAAACTTGTATTAACCACACTGCAAGGGTTAACTGCTTGTTTTTGCTCTAGGTGCTAAAAAAAATTATACTAACCCGAACCGCCGGGCTGCTTCTCTGGTCTCCGAAGCCTCTCTCCTCCTACACTGCATCATTGTAATGACCCTCAGCGTCCTCATGCCTATACACTGTATATAGAACTTGATGGTTTACTTAGACCACTACAGAGGAGGGGAAGAGAGGCTGGAAGGACCAGTCTAAGAACAAGCCGGCGCCGCGGTTCAGGTGAATATTACTTTTTTTAACACCTAGACAAAAGTTAGTAGTCCCACTGCAAGGGTTAATAACATTTTCCCCAGAGTTCTTCTTCAATGAGAACATGGCTTCACCTTATTTACTAAGCCAATTGAACATTCACTATGTAATGTCTTCTCATTTTCTAAATGAACCTAACTATTTTGCAACATTTATAGGCATATTTATAAACCGTGGATATGGCATTCACTTCCATCATTGATTCTACTATGGCATTCACTAAGCACTCACAAATCATTGGTGAATCATTCCCTGTAATTAAAAAAAACATGGACCAGGAAGATTCACCTACAGTCAATATTTGATGAATGTCACAGTCACTTTATAAATAAGCCCCTTAGTGCGTGAGCAGAGGAAGAATCTTTAATTCTTCATGCTGGAAGACCTTTGGAGTTTGTCATTCCACCTACTAATTGTTTACCATACTAGAGAAACTCTATTGATAGCACATGGATCTTGGCTCATAAACAAAAAATTAGTGCCCATGTGTACAAGCTTTGGTTACCTACTTTTCAACTGAGAGCAAGTGACTGAAAATATGAAACATATGCACAATTGTTTAGTGGCAGTTTGAGTTGTAATGTGGAGAGCACAATAGATTGACATTGTTCTTATTATTGTTTTTGTTGACTGTGACAGATGTTTTTAGTGAAAGACCTTAAATTGGTAATTGCAAGATGTTTTGATTGATCAAGTGTTAACCGGGGCCTGTGTGCTTGCTTCATTCCATGATTAGGTGGTGTGAATATGACAAAACACATGGGTAATATAGTTATTGAGGCAGCTGCCAATGGAGTCAGGAAAATAGCAAGAAATTTACTTCCTTCCTATGCTAAAACTTGCAGAAAAGTTTTCCACGCTCACTTTTTTTTTATTTCACGTGAAACCTTGCAGCTGTTCCAGTGTCTCTCATTGTTTGCGTCCAGTCTGAGTCTGGGAAATACAGGAGTACAGCTGTTAACTGAACAGTCAGTCAGGTATTTCACTATGGATAACTTTGCAGCTAAGTGAAGAACTGTAGAGTTATGCCAGTTAACAACACACTGCCATTACTGCATTCGTTTATGGTAATTAGATATTTCAGGGCAAATGTGAATGGAATGTCAGTATTTATTTCATGATAAACTTGTTATACTGTAGTTTGGGTCATTTATATTGTGTTCATTCTGTGTGAGAATCAGAGCATGAAGCCTAAATATCATAAGCAGAATTAAATCTTTTTTCACACAGTGAACTCTGCGTGAACATTGAAACACTGGTCTGACAACCATGAACGTGTATTTCATAATTACTCATTTCAATACTGTAATATTTCCACCTGTTATATTCTAACTTTGTTATTTATGATGGACTGTATAAAAACTTGTGTGCTCAATTTTCTTTTGAGATGATCCTTTAGGAGAGAGTGTTTTGTGATGATCTTGAGATTATCTTTAGCTCTTTTTGGGTTCCTGCTATAGTAATACTAGCCATATGCACCATTAACATCAAGTTGGTGTTTTAGGAACAATGGACAAAATGCTCTGGTACCCTTTTAGAAAATAACAGCCTTGAAGGGAAAACAGTTTTTCTTGCCCAATTTTGTAGGAGCCACAAGACTATTGGGGTTATGTTCAATTAACCTTCCCCCTTTGTTCCCCCCATGATGCAAGAACTGGTACAGTTGAGTAAACTAAATTTAAGTGAATAATCTACCAGAAATCCTCAGTCTTCTCTGTTATGCAACACATTTTCCTCAGTATAAAAAGAGGGGGAAAAAGAGTTAAAGTTTACCATTCCCAACTAATTTTTTTTTATTGTTTGAATGATGTCCATAATGACTTCTAGAATAATTGCTTCATTAGTTTACTACATACTTAATAAAGAAAAAAAGTCAATGCTCTTAATGAATCTTTTTATTTTATTTTCAGGTTGTAATTTCTCGTTCTGTTCAAACTCAGCCTCATGTCAATATTGCCCTTGACACGCATCCCGTGTCTTCTGCAGTGGTGATCAATGAGACATCCAAGCAGAATGGATATGTTCTAGTTAGTACGGGAAAGAAGGTAAGAATCACCCTACATTATCTTTTTCTTAGATGTACATCATGCAACACAGCACTGCACACTGAACAGCATTTAAATGATAATTGACATCATAGAAACTCACATTTTATTGTGGAGGAAATTAAATGTATTATGATTGATTACTGCCAATCTGCACCATATGTTGCATTCCAGGCACATGTCTTTAATATCATTATATTTAATTTCTATTTATAATGTTTGCATTAAAAATTGTAAATATTTCTGTGATATTAGAAATATAGAGAGAACATTTATCCAGCTACACTGAAAATGGTGATGTCACCAGATACCATTGTAAATCAACTTAACCCATCAATTACTGGAAAGATGTTTACCTGGCTCATATGTTTGCAGTATCTCTGAGTAAGCCATGCATTTTTACTCAATCCAAGCCAATCCTACTGATTTTTAGCTCAGTATTTGGTGCTGTATTTAAAACAAACATGGTAGTTTTTATTGCTACATTTTGTTTTGTCAAAACTTCCTAGTAAACATACTTGCATACAATCACATGTTAAAATGCATCTGTTTATAAAGATCTTGCAATTACTTGTTTAAATTAAATTTCTGATTCACTTGCTGTAAATTATAATACTTTTAGGATAGATCAAGGTGTTATGTGACCACATGTTATTTTCAAGGCCAAGTGCAGTTGTAAATGTCCCTGAACTCAAAGTTGAATCCTTATAACCCAATTCAAATATCCTCAACCTATTACACTAAAATCCACACTTTACACGAATTAACAATTGCAGTAAGTTAATATACTGTACAATAATGGACATAAATTGTGACAGACACAAAAGGGTTAGTTAAAAGGAGTATTTAAAGTTCAGTTTGCAAAGGAATGTTACAAAATGTAGTATATAAAGTAGACCTGTGTTCACGTCATACTTCCATTTGCACAAGATTTTTATTTTTAGCATGATTGGGTATTAAATGTGAATTTATTTACTAAGTCCATTTACTTTGCAAAGTGAACAGTTGGTAAATCAAACCTAGACTGTGTTTAAGGAGTTTACAGTTATTTTGGTCGTTCATTTTCAGAACAAATTTCATCAGGTATAACACTCTCAAACAGGATGTATTATTATCATAACTAAAGCCACTCACACACACTGATCCCCACTTAGCACAACCTCCAAGCAGCAGGGCACATACCATACATAAAATATCAATTTGCAGATGCTTGTGTAGCTGCAGGATGTCCACAACTACTTTTAACAAATTGAGTCATTTTTTTTTGTCAATCAATATAAATACATAATTAGCAGTAATAGTTTTTAAATTCCCAGTAGGTGTGGTAATGTAAATGTCTCAAGTTTCAGAGAAAAGAAAGAGCACCTTTAATGGAAAATATCTGCACAAAAGATACTTCCTTCTTTCATCCCCGGTCATACTTCCATAATTTCAGACTGTAAAGAAAATTACTGTCAGTGCTTAAGGCACAAAGGACTTTTATAGACATTTACATGTATATAATTCAGTTAAAAAGTTGCTAAAAACCACCTATCCCTTAGGCTAGTTATAGACATCAGAAAGCGATGAAATACTAAAGGACCTTCATTATGATATATATTTTCAGAGAGGTGAAGAAACCCCTAACACTGGCTTAATGATGGCTAAGAAAATCCATTTTGGATTATTGATTTCCCCCACAACCCACAAGACTTCTTGATAAGAAAGTGTTTGCAGAACTTTGGCTGCATGGTCATAGACAGAGGTGGCTGGATCTTCTTAAAGGAGAACTGTGGGGTCAGGGCTTTTCCCTATAGTTCTCCTAAGGGTCACGGGAGAACACAAACTAGCTACAGCTCATGGTATACTGAGACGCCGCAGCTGGAACGGATTCCGGCATTGCTGTCGAGATCCACCCAGCTGCGTGAGTGACAGCTGGCTCTGCCTATCCAGAGGCAGAGCCAACTGTGTCCGCCCCCTCCCCCGTTCGTTCCGCCAGTCAGCACTGGAAGATCTGAGTGGGGGGAATCCCTGCAGTGAGCCGTGAGTGACAGTCACGGCTCTCTGTAGGGATAGTTCGAGAAGTGAGCGAGCGACGCTATGTGTTTCCCGATCTACTGAGCCAACCTGTGACAGTTTCATTGTCACAGGTCGGCTCAGATTATGAGGCTGAGTGAAAATCACTCGCCTCATAATTCTCCTTTAATGCCACATTACATCCGTGTCTAGCCTTGTACTTCAACTTCTGTGCTGCTACTGCCATTTCCGCTTGATTCTGGAGTAGGTTAGAAAATGAAACAAATAACTGACCAGTTGCTATGGACAACACTACTACTTTATACTAGCAATTCAATTAGGCAACACAAAAATGTACAAGATGAACTCTACTGTTATGCTACGAATATGTGTAATTTTAGCCTTTTTATTTACAGGTACAGTTTGTACATAGTAACATCAGATGATTTTACATGGGTGGAGAGGGGTAGTAAATGTGGATCTTGTATTGTACTACAAGGTCCACTATATGGTAATGTAAAGCGCCGTGAATGCATACATGTCATAACTGTTATTCTGTTTATATTCATGCAGATTATGAAGATCCCATTAGTAGGCCTTGGCTGTGAACACTACAAATCTTGCAGTCATTGCATCTCAACTCCTTCATATATGAATTGCGGCTGGTGCAAGAACCGTTGTTCCAGGAAAAACAACTGCTTTAACGAAGAGTGGACTCAGAAAACCTGCTCTCCAGTTGTGGCTGAGGTAATGTATATGTCAAATGAAATAAGACACATTGATGACCTTGGTCTTGTGCATTTCATCTAATAATATTCTTGAAGATAGCATGCAAAAAGGATTTTCAGAAATATGATTTTTCTTGAGGATTTGCATTTTGCAGGGTCTCCTGTTTGAAAAGTGAAACATAACATTTAAACATAACATTTTATAAATATTATCTGAAAATATTCAGACATTTTTATGGACTCAGATTGAGAAATATGGCTCATTAGGATAGCCCCCCACTCAAAACTTCAGTAGTTTTTCAATATTACATAGTTATATTGAAAAAAGATCTCGTCTATGGTCATTAGTTTAATCAAAATAATTAAATACTCAATTTCACTTCTTTTGTTAGCATAATGTTTTATCTTAAAGCAAATTAGTAAGTGTGCTAAAGGATCGCATAACCAGTTTACTAAGAGGGGCGCAACAGCTTCTGTGCACATAAAGCACCCCCCTCCCCCTCTCCAATTTTGCTGTGCCTCTTCCTTCACAGCTCGTTATCAGCATAGCAGCAGTTATTGCTATAAAGATTGCAGTCAAGAAAGGGGCAGCAGCCATTTTTGTTTCAGTGGGGACTGATAGGGATTGGGTTGAGAAATGATAGCACTAGTATTAAGATAAGCACTTCAATTGTACTAAGTACTGAAACATAAGATTTACTAAGGGAACAAGTAGAGTGCCCAGTGATTGATTGATTGATTGATTGATTGATTGGCTGATCTACTAATTTAGCATAGGTATTTATATACTGCAGAAAATGTATGCTTTGCTTTACATACTGCACATTCACATCAGTACCTGCCCTATTGCACATACATATAGGGCCAACTTAGACAGGAGCCATTTTCAGCATGTCTATAGTGTGGGAGGAAACCAGAGTACCCAGAGGTAACCCATGCAACCACAGGGGGAACAGAGAAACTCATTGCAGATAGCACTTTGACTGCAGTAAGGCTGAGTGATCTAGAGTGTAGTAAAAGAATAAACCATGATGTGCCAAACATTCTCCTGACATGCCTGCACTGCAACCTTTATAACAGTAAATTCTAATAAAAGCTGTGTATCTTGTTTGTTGTTTTTGTAGTGAACCATCCCATGATTTGTAAAAAAAAAAAAAAGCTGTTAAGATTTCTGCAGACAGTTTATAAGAAGGGCGTAGGTCTAATGCAAAAGTAGGATAAAGTGTACAAATGAGTGTACATATGAGCATATTTTATTTCCTTGTAATGAAGGTAAATCTGATGTAGTATAGAGCCCGACGCTGGAACAATTTTGTGTGGCTACCTTTGCCACCACATTGTACTGACTGCATTCTAGCATAGTTAATCGGTATTAGCAAGGCAAGGATCCTGCACAAAGTGCTAATGCCATCCAATACATAATAGCAAGATCTTTATGTGTTCAGAGATCATACACTCCCTTGCCGGCATGTTGCAAGCATTGGACCCTCAAGAAAAGCAACTAATACAATTCATGAACCATGCTGTTGCTATTCACTTAATAAATATATATTGTTTACATATATTGCAGGAGTATGGTGTGTTATACTCTCTAAGTTTTAGACAATGCCATCATTATTATGACCATTTTGGATTATAGATGATACGTTTTATTTCCTATGAGGTGCTGATTGTCATTTTGATGTAACAATATAAAAGCTAACATGAGTAGTTGATAACGGAAACACGTCCATGTGTTGTATTTTCCCTTAAACACAAAGCCCATAGTTTGTTGTGAAGTCTTGTCAAAGATAAAAGGGTTACATACAAAGTTATTGGAGTATATTGTTACACTGATATAAATGCTTCAAAACATAATGTAGAAATAAATCTTATAGTCCATTGTAGCATACATATCATACAAATGTTGTGTAGTTACTTTTATTGAAATGACTTTTCTAAAATCATCTAACCAGATTTGTATTTTTCCCACCATTGTTGTCATTTTAACACAATTTACATTATATAAAAAGTGCTTCCTTTGATAATTGTCAGTGCACAGCTTGGCGTATTCCTCTATTCCTATTAGAGAAAGAATAGGGGTAAACAAAGGTTCAGGGGAAGCATGCCAGTGTATGCAGTGTGCACAGAAATCCGAGCAGGTTTTTTTTTTGTTTGTCCTGTATGTAGTGCATTATGAACTTCCTTCCATGAAATCCATTGTTCCCCAGTGTCTTTTCAGGTTACAGTCATGAGTGAATGAACTGGATAGTTCTCTGACTTGCATATATATTATATATAAGTTACGAAGCTCTCCTGTTAGTATTGCTTGATGCTGTCTCTGCAGCAAACTATTTTCTGTAGCTCGATTAAACTAAACTCCAGGCAGACAGCTCAATTCACAGTTAAAACACATAAAGAACGTTACTGTCCTTATCCTCTCTGTTTCCTCCCTGTTCTGCAAGCTTTTTCAAGAGAAACTGTGCTCTGGAAGCTTTGCCCCAAAAAAACGGGGAGAGGGCAAGAACTAGTCACAAACCTTGCCTGTAGTCCCCCTGCAAATGGATTAGCCCTCATTTCCTGACTTACCATGCCTTGTTGTGCACTGTGTCTCTGTGTGGGGACAGCCATCGTTAGAGATTCAGGGCTTTGCTTCCTCATGTTGGGGCCTTCAGCAAGTAGAATAGTGAGCACAGTAGTGGCATAACCTAATCTGATTTCAAATCTCCTAAGACTAGCAGTCAGAGACTGCAGTGCCTTAGTTCTTACACTGCAGATATACAGCTATGAGGCTGTATGTGCAAGAGTGCCTATGTACACTCACATACCAGGAAGTGCACTGCTTTTTTATTGAGAAATTCATTTTTAGGGTGTAACTTGGTCATGATTAACAATTGTTCCATATAACATAACAAATCTTTATTTTTTGAGTTAAGATCCACTTTAAGAATTGGGACAGTCTCTGTCAAAATACACTTTTGGTTTGAAGAGTAAAGCACATTGTACTGCATAATGCAACCAAAGATTATGGGGGTTATTCATAAAGCTGCCGAAGGATCTAGCTGTAGCTACGGCTGATCCTTTAGCTAGCTTTGAGCCCAGGACCCCTTCGGTTCATTAGAACCGAAGGGCTGCTGTACGGGCTATTCACTATAGCCCGTAAAGTTCCCGAAGTTGGCCAAATGGCTCAGTCAAGGTGAAAGGTGAAGCTGGCCAAATGGCTGTCTCCGGCCACTTGCAGAGACAGATCAGCGTCCCCTGGTTACCAGGTAACCAGGGACGCTGATCTGTCATTACTCTCCCGGACGCTCCGGGAGTCTCCCGCTATTAGATAGTGGCTCCTGGCCGCCTGGGAGAGAAAAACCTTCTCCCCGAAAGGTTTACTCTGCTCAATCGAGCAGAGTAAACCTTTCCCTGCTCTTTTTTTTTTTTTTTGCTATTGCTTCTTTGCTATCTCCCCCCTGCATTACAAGAGCTTAGCAGAGCCGGAGGTGATATGAAAGCCGACTCTGCTGAGCTCTCATGGTACTGACAGTTCAGCGTCCACCTGGTTACTTGGTAACCAGTTCACGCTGATGTGTGAGTATCCTGAGAACTCCCGACTTTGCTAATCGTTTTCTTTTTTTTTTCTACTTTTTTAGACTATTTTTCTATTCTGCTCAGTACCACAGAGCTACCGAGCAGAATAGCGGAGCCGAATGCCTCTCTGCGTCATTCGGCTATTCACTCACTGCTGTCTGGCCCCTATGAGAATAGGCTGAATAGCAGCGAGTAGCCTGCCAGAAGTTCGGCTCAGCCGATCCAGATGTTGGATCGGCTGAGTTGAACTCCTTCTGCACTTCGGGTCGGCCGAGCATGCTGAGCATGTTCGGCCAACCCGAACCCAGGCGCAGCAAGCCGATGTACGGCTGATTTCAGTCGGTATATGGCTGAAATCAGCCGTACAAGCCTGAAGTGAATAGCCGAACAGCATTCGGCTCACTTCACTTCGGGTCGGTTATTCACACCGCTGCCCTCGGCAGCTTTGTGAATAACCCACTATGTGTTGTAAGTACTTCTTACTGAAGGAAAGGAATGATGTTTAACAGAGAGTAAATTAAAGTTGCTAATACGACAGCATAAGTGAAATGCAAGCACCCCTAGATGTCTGCATATATCACCATTTTAGTACTTTTGTTAGTATTTTGAGGAACCCATGAACCTGTCAGCATGCTTCGCCCATCCCAACTCCCCTTGGTCTTCGAAGCCTTAGGTGCATACTTTAGCATCTGCAAGCAGGGAGAAGGGGGGCGGGGGGTATATATAGGAAAGCAGTATCAGGACTTCAAGATAATTCCCTTGGTGCTCCACAGAAAACTAATAATGTAGCAACAGGTATATAATAATTTTATTGTACCAAGGTTTCTAAAGGCTTTGAGAGGCAGCCTGTAACTCAACAAAACATTGGTGCAATAAAGTTGTGATACCATCCTCCTTGTTCATCTGTGGAAGTGCCTACTATATCTGTTAATATATCATAATATAAAAGGAAAGAAAAGGAAACAATATAAGGGGCCATTCCCACCAGATGCATTGGGGTTGCACTGGCCATTTTTTCCAGTGCAGCCCCATCGCAAGACAATGCAATTTGGTTTGTCATGGATGGGTACAGTTCACATCACCGCGTTATGGTGGTGTGAGCTCCAAAAAGTACTGCATGCGTTACTTTTTTTTTGTGATGCAGAACAACCACCTCGCACAACACTGTGCCCATAGAACTTAATGAAATGTCACTTGTGACATTTCAATAAAGTGCTAAAAAAAAATAAGCAGTGCGATGTGTCGGGATCAACATATCAGCACAGTGCCAGGCAAGGCATCTAGTTCTAGTAACTTCTGTGTGACTTTATTAACCTCTTGCCGTCCGCCCGTAGTAGAAGAACGGATGGACGGCACTGCTGCATTGGCGGGTTGCCGTCGCCAGACGGCATTTTTTTTTTGCTCGCGCGCGCCCCCTAGCGGGCACGCACGGGCAGAAAAGACCCGTCCAATGCGAACACCCGGTACCGGGTGTTCACATTAGTAAATCTGCTAATAAGTAGTAAAGCTGAAAAAATGTTCTTCCTTATTTTCCTGTTTGATTTGCAAAATTACATATATCATGAGCAGCCTGTAGGAGCAATCTGGGCATATTTAAACTTCTCAAACTCAAGTGCCTTCCACTGAAGCAGATCACATACATTGTAAGGGCTTCTATAATATTACTGCCATTGTTATAATTGTTTCTACAGTGTTTTATAATAATTACAAACACAAACAAGTTCATCCATGAAAAGATTTAATTTGTACCTAAATATGTTTGTTTTTTTCAGATCATTCCAACATGTGCTCCATTTGATGGTGGTACTCAGCTAACAATATGCGGATGGGATTTTGTTTTAAACAAAGACACTACGGGCTTTCAGGATAATTCCGTGTTGTTTGGAAAATATAAATGCAAAATAGATGTAAAAAACAGCAGTCAAAACAAGTAAGATATTCTTGTTGGTCAAATCTTTCTTGCCTAAATAATAAAACCATATAGAAATAATTACATTGTACATATTTTAAGATTATATTATTTATATTATATTATATTATATTTATCACTTAAATCATGTCAGTCAGTGTTGAAAATAAGTTGAGTAATATCACATGATTTTTTATAAAATATAAGGTGTATCATTGTAGAATAATGTTTTATCTTTAAGGTTGGTCTGTAAGGTCAGTCAAGAAGCTAGTGTCACGTTCAACATTAGCAGCAGTGTGTCCAATGGAAAACAGACAGTGAATTTTACCTCATTCTCATTTGTGGTAAGTATTGATTTGCAGTGTGCTTGGGTTTATATATACATAATCATTTAATGCCAAGTCAGTAGAGTGCTTCTTTTTAATATGTATATACTTACTTGTACCTTATGTATTTATTTACAAGAACCCTGTGATAGCAGGCATTACTCCTACTTATGGACCACAGTCAGGGAAGACACTGCTTACGTTAAAAGGACATTATCTGAACAGTGGGAAGGACAGAAAAGTTTACATTGGAGAAGATGTATGCACTATCAAGAGGTAAATTATACACACTGACCATAGAGAAGATAATGACTGTCTTGTTGTTTGATAGAAGTTTTTTATTTCCTTTTTGGTGGCTATATGATAGAGACCCTTCCAATGACCACTCCAAGCTCGCTTCTGTGATGGACTACAATCTCATGTTTAGTTTACTAAATTCTATTGAAATTATAGTCTATCAGGGGAGCGAGCTTGGAGTGATGGCTACTTTACAACACATACACAGGGACCATGGGGAACAAAAGTAGCCCCCCTCCAGAAGGAAGGACAGTGTAGGCATGGATTCAGAGATGATTTGAGGATCTTCCGCTGGGTAATGCACTAATAAGCTAAATTTTTGTTAATAGGTAAGGTACTTAAATGCATTTTTAAGATTTAACTCCTACGTTTAGTGTCCCTTTAATCTCTTATTGCCTCTCCCACCCATCTAGATAATACACAAATCAGAATAGTCCTTAAATGCTTATCATTACCTTGCCTTTAATAGAATATTTCATATATAATAAAATATTATTTTAGTGCACTTGTAAGAAAATATTATACAATTTTAATGTCACTGTATGTTATTGTAGAAGAAATGGTAATTGTCTAAGGGTTAATATAGAAATCACCACTGTCCCAGGGCTTTTGAAGAGATGATACTGACCTTTCTTTGGTGTTAAAAGATTGCATAATCTACAAATCTCCAAAGTAGCTTCTAAGTTTGATCTAATAGGACAGAGTTCTGGGCTGTCAACAGTATCATTACCGAGATAATTTTTTGCTTTCTCCAGGTGACTGTCTTGTGCTATGTTCTTTCAGAAACTATACTATTTTTGTATTAACATTGTTTGTGATTTTATTTTTCTTCCAGTGTGTCCAGTACTGCCATTGAGTGTTACACCCCAGGCAAAAGAATTGCAGCCTATCCTGTGACACTGAAAATCGACAATGCCCGTCGCAAGGCAAGCACCCCTTTTACCTATAGGGAGGATCCATCCATTTTTAAAATTCAACCAACAAAGTCTTTCCTTAGGTAAATACAATTAGATATGCTGCATTAAAAGAGCCAACATATTGTTAAGACTATATTGCATTTGAGTTAGCAGTTCAAGCCATATTTTAGAAAAAAATATTGTACATAAGATACACTTGACTAGATTGCTTTGTTTGGTTGGTTTATCTTGCCGCTATTAGTGGTACTCTAGTTGTCTTTAAAACAAGCTATCTATTGACTATGTTGGCCAATCCTGCTTGGCATAAGCTGGAGCCAGAGAAATACAGTGTTTTGCTTCAAGTTATTAATCTCCCAGCAGATATCTTAACTGCTTTTCACATTAAGCTTTGAGTCAGCCACGTGCTGTACATCAGTGAGAATCCTTACTACACTGTAGACACTAAATTGTGACATTCCATATTAAAAGCATCTGATACTATTTCTGTTATATTAATATAAGATATTCAGCCAGCTTATGGTGTAGAGGAAGAAAAGGAACCACCACTTCTGGCTTGGTACTCTTTTGCTTTCCATACCCTGCACTGCCAATGCCAACAATGCTGAAACAGTTCTATGCAGGTTGCAAAATTGACCAAAGAGTTATATATTTTTGCATGCATGGTGCTAACTACTATTGAAAAATGATTCTGTGTCCAGACCATGCACACTAAAGTATTTACATATTCTGAACAAGCAGAAAAGCAAACAAACTCTCATTAACCTTTGTAGCTATAGGCATTGTGGAGAAATGCATCTTTAAATGTCACAACAGAGGCTTTGAAATATTAGCTCTTTCCCTATTACTTTCTGTTGCACCAGAATGTTGACTGCCTGCCAGCCCTTTAATGTAAACACATAGCAGGTGTTTATTAACTGTTAGATATGGACTAAAACTCACTTTAGAGTCTTTGTTGTGGTCTTTAAGGGCCTTTGAGAATTAATTACTTCACAGAACAAGCAGCTAGAGAGGTCAAGAATATTAAGGGATAATATTGGCAGGCGTGTGTTGCAAATAGCATCTAGAGGAGCTGGAGGTTTCACACCCCAGGTTATGGATACAAAGGAACAGATTGTTTCCGCAGTGGGCTGTGCAAGGACCCAGTGGGGAGAGAAAAGGGGGCTTTTTAGTACATCAAGGTCAAGAATGGCTTGTTTTAAAGTTCTTTTACTGCTTGTAAATATTTTAAAGTTAATAGTCTGGAAATAGGTGCACTTCAAAGTCAAACTGTACTTGTACTCAGAGTCTACTTACCTGATACTGGAAAGCACTTGCCCGGCGCCACCTGCTGACGACCCGTACGTCCGTTGTCTAATGTCTCTGACCTGTGTACTAGACAAAATTGACAACAATACAAACATGCGGACCTGAGATGTGCCATGGTCCGGGTGGACGGTACGCCAATAAGGGGGCATATTAAAATCAACTAAATTTAGCAGTAAGCATGACCTTTGCTGATTGGAGAGCTCTATCTCTGATTTAGCATGGGGTGTCTCAGGCCTATGCAGAGAGACCAATGCTTACACCAAGACAGCAAGGGTCCTTCTCTGAAGCATGCTGGCAGGGGACAGACTTGCCCACTCCAGCTGTGCTTGATTTTGTAAGAAAATAAACTCTAAGACTTTAAATACCTATTGTTTTGATGCACCAGGAAAGTATTTAGCTGATTTAAACTGAAAGTTTACTTGGGCTTTAAAATGAGGGACAAGTCCCTTGTTTTTGGAGATGAACTGGAAGTTATAATATATATTCCCTTTTTTAACTAGAAAATGTGTAATATTACTAAATTAGGATTTTCTATTTAAAATTCCCAGTTGTTGGCACAAAATCAGATGTACCATCACCGTATTATCATACAGATGATCCCTATGTATTCAGTTCTAGACAGGAAAGAACAGAAAAAGGTTAGTCATGTGCAGTATCTGCAATTAGGAAGGCAGCAAATGCAGAAAAATTTGCTTTTCTCACTGTTTTATAACTTTAGAATGAATTAAATGATATTAGATCTTCAATTTATTTCACACTAGGGAGAACTGCTGCACTGACTTCATATATAGCACATCATTACATTTAGAGGTAATCAATATATCTAGATATGTGGGATTTTTGGAAAAAGTACATTTGCAGAATGGCAGGAATCTTGGGGGAGTTAAGGAAACCATTCCAGAACTTTGATGCCAGGACATAAAAAGATTATTTTTGATAAACTGAGATGGTGAAATTAGTGACTAAGCTCTGTAGCTATTTTGGGCACCGTTTCTGGAATTCTAAAAGATTGCAAAAATGACTGCCTGGGATATCAGCTACAGAGTAAAACTAGATTTATAAAAAACACTGTTTCTTTGTATATTAAGAAAGACTGTAGAAAGGTTCTAGTATGCTACTAAGTAGGCTGATATGCAGATACCTTCTGTTTAGGAAGGCTCTACTTTGCTTCTCACTGGTTTAGTGTAGCCCTACTCCATAGAAGTCATTGTTTCTCTTTGTATAAACGAGGATTATCAGGGTTTAGCACTTGTTGTAACCAACAATTACATTGTAATATGCTTCTGGAACTAAAGGTTGGTCTTTTTGACATGTTTATAGTACTTCAATGTGTCTACATGTTCAGGTTTAGATAGCAGGTGTAGTCTTTATGTGGCATAATATGTATTGCCTAGGACTGTCACAGTGCCTAATATTCTTATTGCTTCATGCCCACAGCGGAGGAAGCACAATCACAGCACACGGGAGAAATCTCAATGCAGTTGCCTCACCTCAAATGGTAATCCAGTTATCGGAACCAGAACTACAGTTTCATATGGTGAGCCATATGTTTTTATTATCTTTTCCCAGTCATTTTTCTTTCTCATTTGCCTGCTAATAAAACCCCCACAAATAAATTGCACTTAATGCCCCGTTCACATGTAGCGACTTATCGCGCGATTTCCGCCGCGATATCGCGCATTTTTGCCGCGCGATATCGCGAGAAGTCGCCGGCTAATCATAGTCAATGGAGCTGTCTTAGCTCCATGTCGCGCGTCCCTCGTCGCGGTCGCAAGTCGCTTCTACCGGACCCTTTTTTCGGCGGATTTTGCTTTTTTTCTATGGAGCCCGACAAAGAAGGTCGCGCTACCGTCGCTGGATCGTCACTGGAACGTCGCCCCGAAAGTCGCGCTATCCCGGCCGCTGCAAAGGTTATTATTATCATGTGAATGGGGCCTAAATGTTTCTTGAGTTTTCCTGCGCCATAAGATATCATAAAGATTTAAAGTAATTATAAATGGGCCAGGTATGACATTAAAATTTATCTCTGTTTTTTGTTTTCGGGAGTTCTGCCTTAATCACATGAACAGATTTTTGGAGCAAATTATTATTGCTATCATATATATTATTATTATTATTTTTTTTAATGACTTATATAGCATAATCATGTTTTCTGGTGCTGCAAAGGTGTCAATAGGGGTTAAACACAAATTATTTTACATTTATGTTGCTGCTGTATATGACTATTGTTTGTAGTGTAAAGTTTACCATTAGAAATGTTAAACATGTATTTAATTACAGCTGTATTACACTGGTGGTAGATTAGAGATCCCAGGTCTTTAGTTTCCCCATTGTAGACTGATTTTGGTTAGAGATAAGTTAGAGATCTGCTTATACAAATCGCTTGCTAGCGAGTAACAGCAATTTGTACCTAGCAATGTAATCGCTATAGTTGTTGGTGATTTATTGCAGCTGCAGGTCAAACTTGTCCTATGACACCACTTTAGTGTTTGCTGCTACAAATCACTCTCTTTTAGCGATTTGTAACTAAACTACAGAGTTAAATGCAGAGCATTTGCTGCTGGCAAGCTTGTAACCGACATAAAACTATGCACAAATTCACATGCAGAGCTACAAATTGTTGAAAACTTAGTGAGTTAGAAATTGCATAGAAAGGAATCGCAAGAATTGCTTAAAAAAGGATCTCTGTGAAAAAATCCCCCCATCTGATATGGCCCTAAAAAGCAGCAGCAACATTATAGCACATTCTGTAGGAGTCTGTAAATCATTCTAATATATTTAAGTGTCTGTATAAAGCTTGATGATGTTATTTTTTCTAGTGACAGGAAAAGAGGGCCTGTTTACCAGAAACATGGTGGAAACTTGACATGGCCAATCTAAAAATAACAAGCTATGGAACAAAACCAACCATTCTCATTAGGCAAGATAAAACATGACATGGAAAAATCTCAGGCTTTGCCAAGTTGCAGCTCCAAATTCTAGTTGCTTTCTGCCTAATTCTAGTCTTTATAACTACCGTTCACTCTCATACATTCACATGCCTTGTAGATAAGAGAATAACATGGTGCTATTTCATATGTCACACCTGCCATATCAGTGAGACAAAGGTTACCTTTAAATAACTATGACAAAGTCAAAACTCAAACATTAGCAATTCATTCCTTTTGATTTTTTTCCAGTATTATAGTGCTCAGTAGTAACGTAAGTAAAATGTTGGTACCAAAGGCATTACTAACCAGTGTATTTGAAACTTTACTTAGATAAGATAACTAGTCATTGAAAGGCAATTATATTATTATCTTAAAGTGTTTTTCCACGTTTACAGCCAAACTGGGGTATAACCTACTTTGTATTTGTTACATGTTCCCATTTGCATAGCATAACTTTAAAAAAAATATTTTAATATTGCTGCTCACCTTTTGAATTGTTGAATAAATCATTAAAAATCTACTAAGCTATTCCGTTCTATAGGAGGGAGCCGGGGAGTCATGTTTTCCATTATCTACCCTGTCTGTAATGAGTGGTACATTGTATATTAATGCACCTAAAAATAACAGTCCCTAATTGTCCGTATAGTGTATTGTTTAGCAAGTTATTCTGAAAAAAATTCATGCAGCTTGAGTCCTGTGTATAATCCTGCTCCAAAGAAACAACTCAAAAGGTAAGTTTTGTTTTAAAATGATTTTTAGCTATGTTGTGCGAATGGAAAAACATAACTAACATACAATATATTGGGTTCTCAATTTTGGCTGCAAAGGTGGAAGCTTGTAATAGGCATTAAGGTACTCGTCCATATTATATGATAGTTATCTAATTATAGCAGTTTTGGCACATGCATATGATAATCAGATAGCATTTAGAATTTAAAGGATCCAGTTAGACAACCTTAAAGAACTAAAAATGTGAAAGGTTTATAAGCCACTTTAATAATAGATGACTATGTACTGCAAGAGCAAAGATAAGGCTGGTTCTGGGCTTACACCCTATATGTTTGCAAAATATGTATGTGCCAAGTGTATGTCTGTGTGACAGCCACTCTATAGATCTTTAAAAGGTAGATTTGTTTTATCCTTAATGTACATCTAATGTTTTGGGTATAATTTATTGCAGGAAGTGATCTCTCAGTTTACTGACTCACTAAATCATTTCCCAAACCTGTCCTCAAATTGTATAGATATAAACAAAGGCAGTTAAATCACAGTGTCAGGACACAAATGACTCCACTTTTGTGTATGTGAAGTTACTTACATATGCAATGTCAGAAAGACCCGAGGAATGTGTTTGGAAAACACTGTCCTTAATCTTGTTTTTTTTTATAATTCTTTATAAATTATCTCGGAAAAGCAAGGCATACGACATACAGTGCAAATGAAGAGTGCAGTATGCAAACTTTATATGCATAAACATACAGCCTAAGCATAGACCTAGTAGCCTGCCTCCTGAGACAGAACTTTTTTGTTTTAATACAACACAATCAAAGAAAAGTAGGCCAAAAACAAGATTAGAAACAGAAAGAAAAAAGAGCCAGATGAAAACAACAACAGCAGAAACACAAAGGCGCTGTCCAAGAGACCAGAAGAGAGAAACAGAAGCACAGGAAAGAGAGGTTACTTCTGCAAGTTTGTTACCTAGTAGATCACTGACTTTAGTACTTGGCCTACCAAAACTTACAACCTAATTTGTCTTCTGCCTTACTGCAATGAAGTTCACTTTAGCGCCAACATAGTACCCAAATAACTGCACAGATTAGTTTTACACTTCTAATGAATTTCAGAATTCCAACACTATAAGGCTTTCATACTGATTACTGATCCCCTAAACTACCACACAGCTATTTGTGGAAGCATCCTAATTACAGCCATATGTCCAGTAGAGCTATTCCACAGTCATATGCACAGCCATTGTTATCAGAAAGCATGTCAAACCTTATAACCATATTTACAATCATGCTGCACTGTAGATATACACTATATGGCCACAAAGTTTGAGTTTGTGGACACCAGACCATCATACAATCAATATGAGATTGCTGGACATTCCATTCCAAAACCATGGGCATCAATATGAAGCTGGACATCTATTTTGACTATAACAGCCTTCACTCCTCTGGTAAGGCTTTCCATAAAATTTTGGAGACTGTCTGTGGGAAAATGTGCCCATTTAGCCAAAATAGCATTTGTTGGACAAGAAAACCTGGCACAGGTTTCAGTCAGAGCTTGGTGCAAATCACTGAAGTTCTGAAACACCAAACATATAACACCGTGTCTTTATGAATCTAGGTCTGTGTGCAGGGGCATAGCCATCCCTACACTCTTTTCACAAGGATGGAAGTGCACAATTGCCTAAAATACCCATGTATGTTGTAGCATTAACAGTACCCTTCACTGGAAACAACTGAACTTAGTAATTTGAAGGGTTGTTCATATACTTTTGACCATAAGGTGTATATGCAACCATCCCACCATACAACCCTATGAACAAACAGACCTTTTTTCTCTGGTTTTAAATTTCACAGTGTTATATTCCCAATAATACAACACGATATTCCATTCAGTCTGTCTCTTCTGATACCATATTGACAAACAGATAGTTTTCATTTTTCTCCAATAATATAAACAAAATGTAAAGGCGGTATACCATTTTTTCCATTAAAAGATACATAATTCAATTACACGCAAAGGTGCTGCTTTGTGGGCAGTATTCTAATTGAGTAGCCAGTAGATTAAATTACAGCATTTCCTCATTGTTCTGCAATCCAATATTTCTTGAAAACTAAAACCATCATATTCTTCAATTGCTAAAACCAATTTGGAGCTTAAAATGTCATGTCAAATCACATAACAGCAAGGTCATCGCAAATGAGATTTTCCTGCCCCTACCAATCAGTCATATTGCATCACTTCTAAAGAGCATTATTAGATTTTATCATTCCGTAAGAGCATCTTCTCCACTGACCCGTCTGGTAAAATGTGTGGTCTGCACTTGTGAACCACTTCTATAGAATAGCCTCAAAGAGAGTTACATATACCACCATTATTAATTTAAAGGACATCACTACTCGACAGTTGATAACAAGAGCAATAAATTCACAAATAATACAATAAAAGGAAGGATTACAGAATATGGGAGCCAGTCACAGTTCAAAGAATGTGTAACCCTCTTCAGAGCTCTGTGTCAGCTCAGGCATTGAAGTCCAGTAACTAAAAGAAAATGATCTTTCTTTGAGCAGCCTTACTTTTAAAAATTAAGGGCTTACAGTAGTTGCCAACAAAGTCCTTTCTGTATTCAATGTTATAATTTCTGCAGCTAAAGGATAATGCCACTTTGATTATAAATGCTATATTTTGACAATAGGCCAAAAGGGCTTCTTTTGTAAATATCACCCTTTTTTTGAATTGCATAGACCTACACTGCCTAGTGGTATTCATGTTACCTTTTTTTAAATTGTGTCTTCAAGAGGCTGTATTGGTTGAAGTTCTAAGTACTGTGGTGGGCTAACAATCTGAAACATCTAGTGCTGTTCATTATTTCATTCAA